ATTCTTTTTCAAAATCTGAACAGAGTTTTTGAATTATGAAATAATTATAGAAAACAACATTTACTACATACTTTGATGGATAAAAGAGTTTACCACAGTCTAACATTTTGCAAAACCTGAAACTTTCATCAAATGCTAATTTTTTTTTTAAAGAAAGGTAGTCTTCACAAAATGTGCATTGTAATTTTTTAAGAATACTCCTAACACAGTATCCTCCTAAGTATGCAGACACAGGCAAATAACTTTCAGCTGCTGCTATGTCTTCAACAGATTTAAATATATTTAAAGAAATTTCGTTATTTTTTTAATGTTCTGAAACTGAACTGAAGTTTTCTGCAAGACTTAAATCATCAATTTCTATAATTCCAAGTTATTTACTTTTTAACTTTATTTTCATCAAAGACATCAGTCAAATTTTATTTTCAATCTCAAATATTTGGCGAGTAGATGTATGATATTGTCCACCAGCATATTGTCTATACTGACTAAATCTAGCTTCAAGATTGTCTGTTTGGAACTTGGAGAATATATTTCAGTCCGAGTTGGGAAATGCAATATGAAGTGATTTCAATCAATGCATACGTTGTCAAAGCTACTGCTTGATGAGTTTTCTTGTTCAATGTCCCTGTGTCATTCTTCATTAGCTTCTAATCATCTACCCAATTCAAAAATTTATATAAGAAGATGTATTTGTCATCACTCTCACTGTTGGTGAGGTGTGTTTTAAATTTTTCGTTCAAGCGCTGACCTTTGTATGGACATTTAACGTTCATGATGCTAAACCATGTGGAAAATATCTTGATATACTCCACTGTATCTTCTGTGTTTTTTTTTTTTTTTTCCTTTATTATGGATTTCTAATAACGCTTTAACGCATTTCAAGAGAATGCAGATCCTTTAGAGCAGTGGTGTGCAAACTGGGGGTAGCCAGAAGTTTTTTGGGGGTCGTCAAATTTTTATGAAGCGCATTATGCTTGCATGCTGCATACCATACAGTGTACATATAAAGAGTGAAGCGCCGTCACTCACTGTTTAATTGCAATTTCATGCTGTCCCCTCTTTCTTTGACCGTAATGCATAATGTATGTAAAGTGTGAAGACGCAAGTTTTTCACTCCAGTTTTATTCCACTTCGCCAGTTTTATTGAAAAGCGCCTATTTGACTAGACGTTAACCGCAGGGAAAGGAGGAAAATTCGCTTCCGTGATCAGCCAATCAGATGGCGAGGTATGCGGTGTTTGAATTGTTTTAGTTTATCCTTGAGTTTTATCATGTGATGTTGTGTAATTATGATTTTTTATATTTTTATTGGGCTTTGCTACTCTTTGTTATCAGGTATGTACTGCCATTAGAGAAAGATCTCTGTTAATTCTATTGATTTTCTCGAAAAAAAATAATAAAATTTTATATACTATTTGTTTTAGTTTAAATAATTTAACCCCTATCTTCATAATGGATAAATGGGTAATACGTACACCAGGTACATCTTCAGCTAACAAACGAACAAATACTGATGAGGAGTCGCAAAATACTGAACTAAATGCCCGATCTAAAAAAATAAGAAAATACAATGAGGAATTTATTAAGTATGGTTTTACATTTTGTGTTGTTGATGATGAAGAACGCCCGATATGTGTCATTTGCAACGAAAAATTAGCAAATGAGAGCATGAAACCAGCTAAATTAAAAAGGCACCTGGAAACTAAACATAAAGAACTTCAAAATAAACATGCCGATTTTTTTCAAAGACGAGCTGAAAATCTGAAAATTCAAAGTGCACATTTAAAGAAATTTACAACAATACCTCAGAAAGCATTACGAGCTTCTTTAGAAGTTTCTTATCTAATAGGAAAAACAATGAAACCCCATACAATTGGAGAATCCCTTATCCTTCCTGCAGCAACTAAGATGACATCAATTATGCATGGCGATAAATATGGAAATGAACTAAAAACAATACCATTATCAAGAGATACCGTGTCTCGGCGGATTTCCGAAATGTCACGAAATATCGAGTCAGAAGTCATAAAACGCATACAAAATTCATCTGTATTTGCTTTACAACTGGACGAGACTACCGATATTACTAAAATGTCACAACTAATTATTTACGTTAGGTTTATTTTTAATGAAGATATAACAGAAACGTTTTTATGTTGCAAAAGTTTGGAAGGAAAAACAACTGGAGAAAAAATATTCGAAGTAATAAATGAATATTTTGAAACAAAGTCCCTTACCTGGGCAAACTGTGTTGCGGTTTGTACTGATGGTGCTGCAGCATTAACAGGTTCGAATAAAGGGCTCAGAGGCTTAATTCAGAAGGTGGCGCCTCATATGGTATTTAATCACTGTATGATTCATCGGCAAGCTCTTGTTGCAAAAGATATGGATGAAGAGTTGCACAACATATTACAAGACGCTGTTAGTTCAATTAACTACATTAAATGCAACAGCCACAACAGCCGTCTCTTTTCAATACTTTGCAATGAGATGGGCTCAACGTATGAGAGATTACTGTTACACACCGAAGTCAGATGGCTTTCACGTGGGAAAATACTACGACGGATATTTGATTTGAGAAATGAAGTGTACATGTTTTTAATCGAAAAGAAACATAGATTGGCAAGTTATTATATCAATGAAGTTTGGCTAGGGAAGCTGAGCTATTTAGTTGATATTTTCGAAAAACTTAACGACTTAAATTTGAGCTTGCAGGGTGAGAATTTCAACTACTACTAAGTTTGCAGTTTAAGAGAATTGAGATTCGTATTACAACAATAACATTTTTTTTTTTATCAATGTTAATATCGAGTTTAATGCAGAATTTAATCTTAATCATCTTCATTAGCTAGCATGTTAAATTAACTCAATTTTTTAGTAATTTTCATGGGAAATTTCAATTTACCAATACTTTTCAAAGAAGCATTATTAGAAAATGCTTGTACCAACATTTCATGATTAATCTTTGTGGAATATTGTATTTGAGGTACAGGTTCATCTTGAATATTAAAAATCAAGACATAATCTTCAATTTTCAAAATTTCCAAGAAACTCCAAAAGCTGTAGCATACTTTTCTTATTGCATAAATCGTTCAAACTTAGCAGTTCTCTGTCTTCATCATACTTTTGCTTTTTAAATAGCAGCAGCAAGATTTTTATTTTCTAGTTCTATCTTTTTTGTCACAGGATCTTTATGGATTGCTTTCGAAGTAGTCAAATATGATGGGCAATTAATCATAATCGATGGCACTGCACCTTTCACTAATCTTGGAACCTTCAAGCATACTGATATATCTTTCCCAGTTTTTTCATCGAAAGCCCTTGCCTCACATATGATGTCAGCTGGCTGAAAATGGAGCTCACATATCTACATATCCCAAAAATGAAACAATTGAGACACATTTAAGAAGAATTCTTTTTAAGCACATCATTATACAGTGAATTCTAATATTTTATTCAAACAACTCCTTAAGGGGACACAGTACTAAATAATATTGTAAACAATACCACACCAAAAGTATATAAATATATGCATATCAAATATTGAATGATCTAAAATTCATTGAATTTGAAAACAAGTTTTTCTAATACTTATGCAATAGCTGCAAAGTAAGATAATCCACTCTGTTACTTGACTCAGCGATCTCAGTTTCTTTATTCTTATATGTTTGTAAATTATGCACTCTTTGCTTTAAAAAATGATTGAATTATGTTGTTCTTATCTTCCGGTTAAGTTTTTATATGCCTTTGATTAATCTGCATGCAATAACTGTAAAATTATCAGCAATTTAAAAGTTTTTTAAATGTGACTAAGCCTAATTTTTGTTTACCATAGCAGCCATATTTGTTTACATTTGAAAACTAGCAGAATAGTGGATTTGTTGACAATCTAGAGAAACTAAGCTTCGCAACAACAAAATAATGTCTTCTTTTATTATTGTGAATTAAACTATGCTTAATTCATTCTGGAATTATCATTTAAGTTATTGGCTTATTTTTGCATAGAAACTGTAATTTTAATTGTAAAAATTGTTTTATTTTGTACATGGTGTTTTATGTTTTTCTGTATCTTTAAATTTTTAATGAAAGTATGTTGAATTTTTATGTATTTTTCTTTGCCGTGAAGTGAGAACTGAATTAATTAGTACGGCATGCACATTAGATAAACAGCTCTGAATCGTTTGTGCAAAACTGTTTCTTTTTTATTTGTTTAATTCTTTTTACATTGTTTTAGATTTATTAAATTATTTGAATAGAACTTGTGGTAATTCTTTAGATGATATAATTTTTGTGCACTCTGAGTTATAAAATGAATGAGATGTAACGCTAAGTGAACCTAGCGCCAAAGTGTTGCAATGGTAAATAAACATGTGAACATTAAAGAGTGCGTTTATTCTATTGTGATTTATGTCCTATCGATGAAGTACATTTAATTGAAAATTCGTTAACTGTTAATTCAGTATTTTTAAATGAAATGCAGGAAAATTGCGTATAATTTAATATTCCGTAAAAGGAAGTCATGGTGTACACATCAGATATTTTAAAAATAATATTAAGCATAGCCTCCAATTATAATGCTTTTTTTTAAATTTTATATTATTACCTTACTGTTAACTGTAAGTCACGTTTTCTATTCACTTTTTTTGTGAATGCTGTAAGAAAAGAAACTTTTGTTTCTTAACTTCTGCAGTGCAAATTTATGTGTTTATGCAGTGCAACATAAACTTTATGTGACCTGTAATACATTCATTTTATATTTTATAAACATTTGTATCATCATTGCTAATTATAAAAAACATTCTTATTTCATATTCTATGAACCTTGATACAAAATAATTGTTTGTATTCCACCTAACAGTGTTAGTTAGCATGGCATGTTATGACACTTTAACTACTTTCATTTTATTCAATCTTCTATAGTTCTTGAAGAAAATTAAGCAGAATATCCTTTGTACTGCGTTTTTCTCTGTATCATTTCAGTATGATATCTTTATCTTTTAGCTTGAAAAAATTCGTCAAATAGATGAAGAAATTCATGAAACACTCCTTAAAGCTGAAAAACTGGGGGCTGAAGGTGATGTAGAAAATTCCTTGAAAACAATGGAAGCTGTAGAAGCTCTCAAACAGAAAAAAGCAGCTGCTGAAGTAATTTTAATTTCCCTTTCCATTTATTATAATTAATCTCTTATTTATGTTTCTTTTCATTTAGTTTCTGTTTAAAATGTAATATCTTATTCGTGTGTGTCATGTGCAGGATAATGGCTAATTTAACATTTGTCTTTGATATCTCTCCCCCCCCCTCTTCCCTTTTCTTAAGCATTTGTATTAAGTAAGAATCCTAGGAAATAGTAGGGAATGATTTTTAAGTTTCAAGGTAATTTTCACTGAAAGTCATCTGAAGTGGTAAATGTAATTTATCACTCTGATTATAGTATAAATCATTAAATGATAATTTTTCATTGCATTGTTTTTCAAAAATTGTAATACCGTAATTTCCGGAAGAAACGCCGCGGCGTTTTACGTGTTTAAAACTTAAATTTTCAGCGGGTGTGGCGTTTCTACCCATGCGGCGTTTAGGTGCACTAAAAATAAAATATTTCCTATGATGGTCATTGTACATAGTTTGGATGGCCTTGTCATTGTGCATAGATTGGTGCTGTTCCCACACAAAAGACCACTCAGTTGCTTTTTGCGAACGTTATTTTGTTTACATTCTTTCCCTTGAACGGACCTACATCCCTTATTCACCCTAAACGATCTCAGAACAATAACATTCTTCCCCCTTTCAAATCAACATTTTCATCAGTTTGAATAGTCTCTCTCCTCTGCCATTCGATGAATCTTCCAGGACCCATCCTCTTTCCACCCCTGCATTTTCTGCAATTTTTTTCAAAGGCGAACACGACTCCACCTGCCTCGCAATAACGAACTCTGACGTATTTCCCCTTCAGCATGAATGGATTTTTCTTGGCATTCTGCCAAATACAGATCCTATCAGTCAGAGTACAAGTACTTGTTGGATAGTTTTTAATTAGTGGATAGTGGAAAATTTTTTAAAATGTCTGTAAATGGCACAGAAGCTATACATTTCTTACCTTTAATTTATTTTTGAGTTATGGTTTCATTTCATGCATTTTTCTTAACTGGTATGTCATATATCAGGACTTAGGTTGAGTTTTTGCATCTATACGGCCCACGACGATGTCACGCGCAATTTAATCTATTGCGGCATTTACGCTGATGCGCGTTTCTGTGGAATTTTAATTTTTTCCCGCCATTTTTCTCGAGTGCGGCGTTTACGCTGATGTGGCCTTTCTTCCGGAAATTACGGTAAATTAAAAAATGTTAATGCAATTTGATAATTATAATTAAACTGATAATTACAATTAAATGAATGTAATTGGAAAGTGTTTGTTGGCATCCTTATATAGATTGGAATATTTTCAAACCATAGAGTCAAAAGGATCTGTTATTTGTTTGATGTTGAATGTAGGCTAATGCTCCATTCTGGGAAATATTAGCACATTTCTAAGATAATTTCTTCGAAAATCCTTCCTTCTTATGTAGTAGTTAATGAAAGCAGTTTATTACCATGGTATTAATGATTAATTGTTGGGCTGCAGATTTTCTGATTGGAGAGACAAAATGTCAATGTGAAACTTTTTTTAAACTTTTATACGAGGGCTATCCAGAAAGTAGATTACATTTTGGAATAAAAAAAATAAACAAAGTATAGGAAACAAATTTTATTATATACAGATGAAAGCCACACTCAAATACTACTTTTCTACATAGTCACCATACAAATTAAGGCATTTATCGTAGCGATGTACGAGCTTGGAAATTCCTTCGTCGAAAAATTCGGCCGCCTGCGCCTTCAACCACTTCGTTACCTCTTCTTGCCTTCCATCTTGCACAAAACTGTGGTAACCAACCTTTTCGGTGATGATTTCGTGCAACAAACTTCGCGAAATTTGTGGAAAACTCAAAGAAAGTTCCGTTATTGTGAAATTTCGATTTTCACGGACTTTAGCATCGACTTTTTCGAGAAGTTCGGCGGTCACTATGCTGGGTCTCCCACTTCGATCTTCGTCGTGAACATTGGTTCGGCCATTTTGAAATCTTATGACCCACTGACGCACTCCACCTTCAGTGATAATGTTGTCCCCATACACTTCACGAAGCTGCCGATAGATTTCTATCGGTTTACAGTTTTTTGCAGTCAGAAACCTTATTACTGAGCGCACCTCGCAGCTCGCGGGATTTTCAATTAACGCAGACATTTCAAACCGTCACAGTATCTGAACGGAGCACAGCACGAACCTCTCACTAGCACGGCTAGATGCAGACTGAGCTGCGCAACGCTCTGACCCCAAGATGGCCGCGCTAGCCCCGCCCCTAGCGGACACAGACGGAAACGTAATCTACTTCCTGGATGGCCCTCGTATTTCATATAAAGCTTGCTTGTTAACTTTTTGTAGTAAGCAAATCTTTTTCAGAATATACTGAGGGTGAAATAGCATTTAGAAATCTTAAAAATGTATCGAAATCTATTTTCGTTAATTTAATTTTTATATATGCATGGATCAGTACCTTATTTTACTAACGTGAAATTTGAAAAAAATCAAAATACAGTAGACTTCCGATTATCCGCGGATAGATTATGCGCGGAGCAGATTATCCGCGCCTGCCGCACAAAGGGTTTTTTTTTTACAAGCGTAAAGCAAAGAAAATAAAAATTTTAACAAAACTGAGCGATACGTAAATTTGCTAAACATTGTGCTTATTTATATCAAAAATATCCCAGGCCTTCTGGGAACCTTCCCCACCCATGAGTAAGTGATTTCTTACTCACCCTTGCAGTGCCCGCTCCACAGCCCTCTCTCGTCTTAATCTTACTGATACGTCCACTTCCTCCTACTCACCATTGTTAGTTTAAGCCTGATAGTGTTTGCAAACTGGCCAGAGTTAATTTCTTATCTTTTATTGTGTTCAGTGCTTGTGCTTTTTGGTTTTTTGTTTTTTGTTACTGATTTAAAATGTCAGGAAAATGAAAGAAGGTTGTGTTGACGATTGCATAAAAACTAGAATTAATTTCCAAAGTAGCAAACGACGCTACAAGGCAGTAGATGGAATTGGATTACGGAATCACGGAAACAACAGTGTGTGACATTCTAAAGCAAAAAGACAAACTGGTGAACTTTGCATCAATGTCGGACAGTGCTTCCGCAATGAAAACGCAAAAAACTATGAAGGGTTCTACCTTTGATGAGCTAGACACGGCATTGACAGAGTGGTTAGCTCAAGTTTGAAAAGAGGGTACTCTTGTAAATGGTCCTATCATTGCGGCGAAGGCAAAAACCTTTTTTGAGTTGTTAGGCCTGAAAGGAAATTTTGATGTGTCTTCTGGCTGGTTGACTAGCCCACCAGCGGCCGAGCGGTAAAGACGCTGAACACTGGTAGTTCGGTCTGAGGTTCGAATCCCGCGAACGGGCTGGCTGCATGGGCGTTTTCGTGGTTTTCGCCATGTGTAACGTGTATACGAGCCAGTTTCCCTTAGAAAGTCCTCCACGAAAGGCATCCCTCCCTTTAGGCAGATAGCCCTCGTGTGCTTTGCCATAATTAAATACACACACACACTGGCTGGTTGACTCGTTTTAAGCAGTGACATGGAATTCAAGAAATTGGACTTCATGGGGAGAAACTTAGTGGTGACCAATAAGCAGGCGACGATTTCCACCATGAATTTGAAGAATTTGTTTTAAAAGAAGAGCTGTCTTTTGAACAAATTTACAATCGAGACTTTTGTGAAAATGTCTTCCCACTTGCACTTTAGCATCTGAAGTGAAAGTAAAGTGGCGGGTCATAAAAGCAGCAAGGAAAGAATCACTATCATGTCTTGCAGTAATGCTACCGGTGGACATAAACTTAGACTTGTTGTCATTGGAAAGTAAAAAAAAAGAGAGAGAGAGAGAGAGATCTTTCAAAGGCACAAGGATAGAAAATTTGCCCGTTGATTACTTTAACCAAAAAAAAAAAAGGATGGATGAACCGAAACATTTTTCAAGATTGTTCGAAAAAATCTTTGTTCTTCAAGTGCGTAAACGTCTTAATTCGAAAACCTGCCTAAAAAGCTGTGCTATTGATCGACATCGCACCTTCTCACCCAGCAACAAGCGTGCTAAAGTCTTCTGATAGACAAATTTTTGCAAAGTTTCTTCCCCCAAACGTTACTGCGCTAATCCAACCATTGGACCAAGGAGTTATTGCAACAATGAAGAGAACATACCGAACCAAGCTGCTAATGACAAAAATTGAAGAAGGTTATGATCTGAGAGAGTTTTGGGAACACTACTCAATCTTGGACAGCATCTACGATATTGCATCTGCATGGGACTCGGTGAAACCGTCAACCCTCATAAAATCATGGAGAAAACTCATGCCTAATGTTGAAGCCAACAACAACCTAACCCCTTTGAGTTGTGAAGAAGAGAATGAAGATGTAGACACGCCCACGGCAACTCTTGCCGATATGGTGAAAATAGTTCTAGTTGGTGAGAACGGCGATGCTGAAAACATTAACGAGTGGTTGGAGTGTGACGTCAACGAACCTGGCTTTGAATGCTTGACAGATGACGAAATTGTGAAGAAAGCAAGGGAAGAGACCGAGAATGAAGGAGAGCGAAGTGAAAGCGAAGAAGCGCCCACTGTGCAGATGCGGAAGTGGCTTTGCAACAAGTCGACGAACTGAGCTATTTCGAAGAACAAGACGATGCGGAATTGGCCTAGAAACTTATGCTACGAAAAATGCAATCTCGGATCAAGAGAAAATGCCTCCAAAGCAAGAAGCAAACACAAATGACTGATTTTTTCTAAAAGGTGTAGTTTTACAGTTATGCTTTTGTAATTACATAATGCATTACCGTATTTAAAAGTACATATGTTTTAATATTTCTATGTATCCTTGATGCCTCTCGTAAGTACAAAACACTTTTCTGTTTTCATTAACAAATTGCATTTTAGGTTAGTTTTGAGTGATATACTAAAATATTAAGCGTCAGTTAAACATTTCCTGCTGTTTATCTTAGGTTTTATTGTACATATACATTTTTCAAAGTTGGAATGACTGTTTTCTCTTTTGCTAT